GCAGCAGCGGGCGCAGGTTGAGGGAGACGGGCAGGCAGCCTCTTCAGCGCGTTGGGCCTACAGCCTGTCCCGCAGCACCAGAACCCTCCGCGACAGCGACAGGCTGCGAGGGGCAGGGCCGCTGGGGGCCCTCACCCCGATGATCTTGGCGGGCCACGTGGACTGGTCTATGAGCGACACCCGCACCTCGGAGGCCCCGCGTATGACGTGGAAGTTGGTGGCGATGTGGCCACGCCCATCCCACACAAACCCGCTGCCCTGGCCTGCAGGCAAGGAGCAGTGGGGGCAGGGGTGGTGACGTGTCGACCCTGTGCATGGCCCATGCAGGTGGGGGGCTGCAGGCAGCGGATGAAGGTATGCACCGCCAGGGCTGTGGCGGTGCTGTCAACTACGCTGCTGTCAACTACGTCACAAGGGCAGCCCAGCCAGCCACGCCCAACCCAGGCCTCGAGATCTTCAACCCGGGGGGCACAACACGATGCACTGGTGGTTTCCCCCTCCCCCTCCCCCTCTCCCTCCCCGTCTCCAGAGGAGTCGCCCTCCCCGGTACGTTGCAGTGCGGCCGATGCGCCATAGCCGTCATGCTTGCTTCTGTGGGCTGGCGATGTCTTTCAACCTCCCTGCAAACATCACAACTTGGTTCACTTCAATTACCTTTTCTTGTCAGGAATGGTCGCCTTACTCTCCCAGTCCCGCACCGACACCGAGCCCCTTGCCCTCCCCCTCCCCGTCGCCCGTCTTCTCCCCATCGCCCTCCCCGATCCTTTCGCCGTCGCCCTCCCCAACCATCAGCCCGTACAGTCCTGTCATCAGTCCGTACACTCCCGTCATCAGTCCGTATGCTCCTGTTGTCAGCCCGTACGCGCCTGTTGTCAGCCCGTACGCGCCGGTCAGCCCTACCAGCCCCTACGGCCCCGTCTCGCCCAATGCGCCCGCACCCGACAGCAGCCCCTACGGCCCCGCTCCCGGCCACGCCCCGGCGCCCGGAGGAGACCACTCGCCCGATCCTGGTGAGCTCATGGGCCCGCTGTCTGTCTGTCACACCCACAAGGAGCAATTGCATGCGACGGCTGCTGCTGCCGCCAACGCCACCTGCACTGCTAGTGTGCTGCCCAGCCGGCTGGCGCTTGCATGCGGCGTTTGCGACGTCTGGTAGCAAGCGCGCCGCCGTCCTCGCTCATCCACGTCGCCCGCTTGCCCCCCTCACGCCTCCCTGCCCGCAGACCACCGCAGCCCCTCACCGGCGCCCGGCCCTGAGCAGCCCGGCACCATGTGCATGGCAGAGTGAGCTGCCGGCTGGTGGCTGTACGCATGTGGCCGTAGCCGCCAGCCGCTGCCCCTCTGTCAGCAGCTGCGGCGGTGCCTGCACATGCCTCGCTGTGCAGAGGTCTGCATGGGCATTGCGCTGCAGGCACGTAGCGACCTGCTTCCTCTCTCGACCCGTAACCTTGGTGCCCGCTCCCCTCCCGCTGCCCGCAGGCCCGCCTGCCAGCTGTTTGTGGCCGACAGCCTGTGCTGCCTGGGCTACGGCATCATCCAGCACGCCGCCGTGCGCATGTGGCTGGTGTGCAACGCGGACGTGTACCTGCCGGAGCCCAAGTGCCTGACGGGTGGGTCTGGGAGGAAAGAAAGACGTGTCACACGCGGCAGGGTTGGCTGACAGGGCGTCCACCACCGTTTCGGGCTGTGCTGAGCGGGGGACGCCAGCAGCGCCACGCCCTAGTCGTGTGCCCAGCCTCTTCTCGTCCCCGCCCCACGTCTGCTCCACTCCACTCCCTTTCCTTCTCCTCCCCTGCAGTGTACGACAACCTGACCAGCCAGGTGATCCCCCAGATCGACCCGGAGGACCCCGACACCCTGACAGCCGTGAATGTGACCGTCATCGACGCCCCCAACGCCCGCTCCGAAGGTGTGTGTGCATGTGTGTGTGTGTGTGTGTGTGTGAGAGTTGTGTGTGTGCACCCCACACATCGACAGTCTCTCACCTGTTGATTCCTCCTTTCATCACACCACCCCATCATCACCTCATCACCGCAAAGCAAGAGTACGCCGCGTGACCGCCTGCCTGCCTGGATGCCTCCCCGCAGAGCTGCTGGTGGAGCTTCCCCTGGCCTATTACATCGTGCCGCGCGGGCGCACCCCCGGCCAGCTGGCGGTGCAGCTTGACATGGAGGAGGCGAGGTGTGTGTATGTGTGATTGTGTGTGTGTGTGTGGTGGGGTGATGGGAAAGCCTCATGAGCTGCTGGTATGCTGGTGTCGGAAGCTGCGCCTGCGTCGCAGTACCGGCCTCGTCCTGGGCTGCATCACGGGTTGCTCTCCTCCTTCGCTCATCCAACCCATCCCGCCCCCCTGTGCCCGCAGGTCGACATACGCGGATGGCCTGTGCAGCCTGCGGCTGCGGGAGCCTTGCGAGTGGGAAGGAGTGGCGTACGAGGCGGTGGGCGATGTGCAGCGGGTGCCCCTCCTATCAGGTGCGCATTGTTTGAGCGCGGGGCGCCCGAAGTCCTTGTGATCAGTAACCAATGCACACCTGCCACCCAGCTTGCTGCATTGTGTTGCCAGCCCTGCCGCAGCAAATGAAGCACTGGCCACGGCTCACTCTCCCTCTCTCTCTCTCGCTCCATCTCTCTGCCTGCAGTGCTGAATGTGGGGGAGACGCTGGAAGCGATAGACCTGGTTGACCGGGTCCTGATCAGGGGCGAGGACCTCTCGCCGCCGCCGCCGCCGCCACCATCGCCAGAGGGTGAAGATGGCGACGACGATGACGACGATGATGATGACGACGACACGCGGCGGCGCACGCGGCGGCGGCGGCGCCTCTTCTCGTGGCCGTGGGGTGCCGCCGTCCCCGCTGCCGCCCCCGGCATGTATGAGCCGGCGCCCGCGCCGGCGCCGTGGGCCGAGCGGCGGCGGCGCTTGCACGACGCGGCGCACCTGGCAGTTACCCGGAAGCTGCTGCAGGACCTCATTACCATGGAGGGCGCCGCCAGCGACCCCATGGTGGTGGCGGCACAGGCGGCGCGGGGCATAGACATCACAGCAGGTGGGCGGCCAGGCGGGGGGTGGTGTGCTGCCTGCTGTCTGGTTGTCTGGCTGTCTGTCTGTCTGGCTATCGTCTGGCACGCTGGCGTGGGTGCTGGTGAGCTTGCATGCTGCGTGGCGGGAGGGGCTGTGTGCGCTGCGATTGTACGCCTGCGCCTGCTCCTGCAGCCATAGCAGCCGCCCGATACGCTGCCTTGCCTGCTGCGCCGCCCCGCCGCTGCCGCTGCAGTCCGCATCCTGCCGCGACTGCTGGCCGAGGCGCGCAGCGTGGGCGGAGACCTGCCGCAGCCGGATGTGGATGAGGGTGAGCGGCTGCGGCAGTAGGCAACAGGGTGGAGGCGGCAGGGTGGTGGTGATTGCTGGCTGCAGCGGGGTGGCAGCCAGGGCGTGGCAGACGGCGGCTGTGGAGTGGATGCACTCACCGGCTGGCGGACGAGGCCCAGTGGATGCATCTCTCTGCCGCCGCCGCCTCGCGCGCTCCTCCCTCGCCCTGCCCCCCCGCCGCTCCCTGCGCTGATCCCAGATGCCGTGCACCGCCGGCCTGTCCCCTCCCTGTCCTGCAGACGACCTGCCGCCGCTGACCGACACCACCGTCCCCACCAACTTCTCCTCAATCGACTTCTTTGCCAACGACTGGTTCATCAGGTGAGCTGGCCAGAGCCGGTGCAGGGGTGCACAATCGGTTCGGGGCAGGAGGGAGGAGGGAGTGGGAGCGGCTATGGTGCCACTGGCGCGGGAAGTATTCCCCCGTGACCGAGGCAGTGGTCTGCATGCAAGTGTGGCAAACAGCGCTGGGAAGGTTGCGCTGAGCAGCTGATGCGCCAAATCGGTGCATGATGTGCCGTCGCTCTTGCCCACTCCTCAGCCCCCTCCACTTGCTCTGCCCTGCCTGCCCACCCCCGGCTGCAGCTGGATCCCTGGCAACAGCTCCTACAACGACTCCTACACCCCCACCGCCTGGACCGAGGCCTGCCTCATGACCAGCGCCGCAGAGCTTCCAGAGAGCTTCCTGCTGGTGAGGAGCGCCGCCCCGGCCGCGCTGCAGCCCGCGTGCCCACACGGCATGGGCCGCGCCCTGCGCCGGCCCTGGCTGTGCCCGCTGGCCTCCCCAGCGGCCTCCCCAGGCTTGCGCAGCTCCCGCCGCCGCCCCATCGACCCACCTCGTGTGACCGCCGCTGCGCTGCACTCCCTCCCTGCCCGCCTGCTTCCCTTCGCCTTCTTTGTTTTTGTGCCTTCAGGGAAACTTTGAAGAGCTGTACGGATATGAGGACGACTGCGACCCAGACTCGCTGCCAGATGTCAGCCCCACCGAGCTGACCTAGCGGGGCACCAGCAACTGCCAGTGGCAGCTGTGGCAGGGTGGCAGGGAATCCCTCGCCCTGCCTGTCCGCCTCCTAGGCCTGCCTGCCAGCCACATGCGCATGTGCAGCACCACTTCAGCACGGCTGCCGTGGCTCGCCACGGGGCAGCGCACCTGCATGTTGCGCTGCCCTGCAGGCGCACATCTGCTGCCCCAGTTTTGCTTGGTTGCTGGGCTGCGCCCAGCGCTCGATCTGTCCCCACATTCGTTACCCACCCTTTGCTCATTTTGTCCGATTTGTCGGCGCTTCAGGGGCCATCCCTCCCGAGCACCCTCCTGCACAGCATGCACAGCGCTCCCCTGCTCCCCGCTCCCGGCACATGACCCCTATCCCTGCACATGCCTCCCAAATGCAATCCACTCAGTATTTGTTGTGCTCAACCTTGTGCACAGAAGCACGCATTCTCACACCCTACTTTTCCTCTGCTCCCCGGCGTCAGGCACTTGGCGGCCCCCCATTGTTGATCCCTCGCGATACCGCAGACCGCCGCCATGAGCCCTTCCACAAGCCGTGGGTGCCTCTGCTGCCCCCTGGCAGGCCCAGCCACCGCCTTTTTCTTGTAACAGCTCGGCGCCCCCCCCAACAGCCTCCGCCAAGGTGCTGATCTAGGTCGAGGCTGGGGTGAAAATTGCAGTGTGCTGGTCATGTGCAGCGGATGTTGGCAAAAGGAAAACAGGGCACGGACTAGCGCTGCCCGCTGGGCGGCCGCCGCGCAGGGTTGCTGCCGGCCCCTGCTGGCGCCGTCGAGCTGGCGTTGGCCGCAGGCTCCGCCGCCGCCGCCGCTCTCCGCTCCTCGTACTGGCGATCAAAGCGCTTGACGGCGGCAGCCACGTTCCACACATACTTTCTATCTGCGTGTGGGCGGGCAGGGAGATGGTTAGCCTCTGTAGGCAGCCCCTCCTCCCAGCGGCCAGCCAGGCTGGAGGGCAGCGGCCCACTGCAGCTCGCGAACACCAGGCGCCAGCTGCCGCCTCATGCCAGCCACCTCCCACTCGGCCAGGCAGCTCCAGCCCGCTCACCGCTGGGCGTGGAACACAGGAAGTAGACTTGCTTGTAGCCGGGAAGGTCGGAAAACACGCGCTCACACCGAGTGTGGCCGCCTGCGCTGCCGGGGATGATCTGCGGAGGGGGCCGGCGCAGCGGGCGGCGCCGCTTGCGGCGTCTGGGGTTTGGCAGGGGGTGTGCGTGGGGATGGAATGGCACATGACCACTGCCGCGCGGCGCCCCGCAAAAGGATGCTCTGGCGGCGGTGCTTCCTGATGGCGGTGCTGCTGGCCCAAACCCAGCTGCCACAGCCGAGCCGCGGCAGCAGCCGCGGCAGCAGCCAAACACAACACGCACACACACAAACGCGCGCGCGCGCGCACACACACACACACGTCACCCACCCACCCACCCGCCACCCTCTGGATTTCATGTCCTCAACCAGCCGCCGCAGGCTTTTGGTGTTGACAGGCGCCACCTCTGCCGGGGCTGCTGCCGCCTCCGCCTGTTGCCCCGCGCTTGCTGCCGTTGGCCACTCTACCGCTGCTTCTGCTTCCCAAGCCCCAGCCTGTCCCGGCCACGCCCCCGAGCCGGGACGGCTGCCTGCGACTGCGGCTGCCGCGGAGCCTGGCCTGCTGCCTCCGCCGCCGCTGCCGTTCCTGCGGCTGCTGCCTGCTGCTGTGGACTCCATCATGCTGCGCAACGCTTCGGCGGTGGCGGCAGAGGCCGCGGCCGCGGCTGCCTCGCGCTCGGCATAGCCCAAGGCGGCCACCTTGGCTGCCGCCGTCACGCCATCATCCTGCGCGCCAGCATGTGGGGCGACAGAAGGCAGGTGGGGCAGGTGGCTAGGTGCTCGGGACGGGCAGGCTTCTCAGCGCACGCCCAAGGCGCCAGCCATCCGCGCTGCACTGGCGCCTGCCAGCACAGCAGAATGCTCCACCGCGCGGGATGATGCGCGCGCTTAATTGCCACCCACCAGGCGGCCCTCACCTTCAGGAGCAGCTGATAGCCAAGGTCGTCCTCATGCAGGCGCAGCCCCTCATCCAGCTGCAGCGGAGGCAGGCTGCCGACACCTGCGGGCCCTGCGCCGCCCTGCCAGCTGGGGCTGCCCGGGGCCGATGCCAGGGAGCGTGGCCGGCCCACGCCGCGGCTGAGCAGGCGGATGCCGCTGCCCCGCTCTGCCTGCAGCTGCTTGGCGGAGCGGTGCTGCGCGTGCAGCAGCCGGCGGGTGGCCTCGCTGCTGCTGCCGCTGGCGCAGGCGTCTGCCGCAGCACCAGCTGCCTGCAGGCTGGGGAAGGGGTCTGCGCTGCGGGTGCTGCTCCTGCTGCCGCCTCCGCCTCCTGCACTGCTGCTGGTCCTGCCACGCGCAGCCAGGGGAGAGGCATCACCGGAGGCATCCAGGCGCAGGCGGGACCAGTAGCTGCTGCTGCTGGCGGCCGTCGCTCGCCCAGCGGCAGCGGCCTGCTCGGCCTCCTCCTGGGCAGCCAGTGCCTCTGCCACCGCTGCATCCTCCCGCTCCTGCCACTCCCGAGCCAGCCGCCAGTCGGCGTGGGCTGCTTCCATGGCCTGCTCACAAGCTGCCTCTTCTCGGGCCGCCTCGGCAGCAGCCAGCGCAGCATCCTCCTCGCCCTGAAGCTCTGCTGCCAGCTGCCAGTCGGCCTCCGCTGCAGCGGCAGGCGCCAACGCTGCCGAAAAGCTGCTGGCGCCGGCTCCAGGGAGCACCGGGAGTGGCGGCGGTGCTCGCGCTGCTGCTGTTGCGGCTGCTGCTGGCCGGCTGACACTGCCACTGCCGCTGCCACCAACACTGCTCCCACCGCCACTGCTGGCACCTCCCCCTAGCATCAGCGACATCAGATGATCCAGCTCCGCCTCCTCGCTGCTGCTGCCAGAGGCGGGGCGGGCACTGATGCTGCGGCCCCAGTCCCCATGCGATCCCGCAGCCTCCGTGGCGTGCTGCCATGGCTGGCGCTGCTGCAGCCGCAGCTCGCGGCGCACCAGCTGCAGAAACTCGGGGTCTGCTGCCTGCCCGGGCCAGCTGAGTGTGAAGCAGGCAATCTGCTCCCCGCCGCCATCCAGGGCCACCTGCGCAGAGCATGGGAGTGTGGGTGGCGCTGCTCCAACACACAGCTATGCCCCGGTGTTCACAGCCGGCCCTGCCTCACCAGGAGATTGTCGTCTGCCAAAGCCAGCTGGTAGCAGAGCCCTTCCTCCTGCTCTGCTTCTAACCGCTGCTGTGGTGTCGGCGGCAGCGACAGCGGCGCTGGCAGCCCGCCGTCGGCTGCCTCGCCGGCAGCAGAGCTCCTGGGAGCTGTTGCGGCTTCGCTGCTCGCCAGCGGGATGTCTCCTCTGCATGGTCAAAGGGGAACAGGAAGCCACGAGGGCGGCAATTGGGACGAAGCAAAGAATCAAACACGCCGGCGGGGTGGGCGGGGTGGGCGGTGGCGGCACCCTGCCATCCAGTAGTGCGCCACTAGGTTGGAGAAGAGGCACAGTGCTGCCTGCCTTACCTGTGCTCGATGGCCCTCTCCCTCTTCTTCTCGGCTCGAGTGCCAGGGGGATTCTCAGCCGGCTGCCCCCACAGCCGCAGGGCATCGAACATGTTGTGCAGCATGCTGCTCAGGATGTGTCGTGTTGCCCGAAAGCTTCATCTGTTCAGAGCGCAAGAGTCCACCGTGGCGGCCATGTCAGCAGTCGCCGAAACACACCACCGTAGGCCTCCTGCACCCAGACCGATCATCCATAGACCTGCACCACAGCCCTGGGCGCTCACAGCCGCTTCCGACCTGCCAAGTGATTGCAGACAGCATCACCGGCTCCTAACCAAGTCTGCCACGCGTTTGAGAAGCACTAGTTGGCCAGGAAATGGACCTCCTGGCCGCCTATGACAGGTGCCGAGCTGCAGATGGCCGGCTCGCCGCGGGGTTGGCTGCTCTGCTGGCTGGCTGTTCCTCACAATCCCCAGAGCACATTGGCCTTCTCCCTGACTGCAGCGGCGAGGAGGGGTCCCCCTCATCGCCCGTGAAGCTGCTGGACATCAGCGTGTCGGCCGCCCCGGACGTGGAGGTGGCGGGCCTGCAGCTGGTCAAGGGCCAGGCGGTGCCGGTGGGCCAGGCACTGCACTTGCAACGTGCGTCGCTGCCGCCGCCCCGGCCCCCGCCGCCTGCGGGTCCTTTGCTGTTGCTGCTCGCAGCTCTGATGCTTATGGCATGCAGCTGCTGCAGCGGTCTCAACAATATGTGCATTATCGGCAGCAGGAGGCGCGTGCCCTCGCTTTTTCTTGCGCCCCGATGCCGTCTATACTCCTCGCCCCAGCCAACACTCGCTACCCTGCCTGCCTGCCTGCCCCGCTCCACCCCACCCTGCTACCTGCAGCGGCGGCGGTGCGCAAAGTGATGTACAACCTTCCCGTGGAGCAGATGCACGCGCCGGTGGTGGGGCCGCTGCACCACAACCAGAAGAATCTGACGCAGGGTGGGTTGGTGCAGCACCGCGTTGGCATCGCCGGGGTGGGCGCGTTGCCAAGACTTGAGCACGCCGCTGCTGCTGCCGCTGCGTGCTGCTGCTTGCTGCTGGGATGCTCCTCTGCTGCTGCTGCTGCTGCCCTGGGCAATCACAGCACGTTTCGCGGATGCGGCCTTAACCTGACGTGCCTTCCCTCCCCCTCTGCGACCCGCCCCGCAGCTCTGCGCAACCACCGCGCGGGACACGTGGAGGATGCCAACCTGGCCAGCTACTCCTTCGACGAGCAGTACAACACATTCCAAGCGTGCGTACCGCCGGCATGTGGCAGGCGGCAGCGGGGCAGGCAGCGGGGGCGGCGTAGCGGCGGGGCCAGGGCAGGGTTGCGGGACGGAGGGCGACCCCCCTGTTTGTTGCCGCTGGCATGCCTGTGCTTGCCCTGTGCTGCCGCTGCGGCGCTGCTCCGCTGCCCCGTGCTCCCCTGCCCCACGCCGCTTCTCCTCTGCGTCCCCTCCCCCTGTGCTCCTTGCAGGCAAGGAGTGGCGCACGACCCGGAAGGAACAGGCGTGGTGCGGCACCGCGACCTGGTGGCAGGCAAGGGCGCTGACCTGTTCCCGGCGGCCAAGGAGGCGGCCGCCGGCAAGCAGGCAGCCAAACGGCAGAAGACGGACGGCGAGGCCAAGCAGCAGCAGCCATTTGACCCGTCGCAGGTGCGGGCCCGGCGGCGGCCGTCGCCTGCTGCCGCCGCCGCTGCTTCGTTGCCCCGCCTGCTGCTGCTGCTGCAGGGCTCCGAAGAGGGGCCGCCTGTAGCAGGTGGCAGCACCGCCGCTGCCAACCGTGCCCCGAATTGCCCGCGCCCCTGCCTGCCTGCCTGCCCGCCCGCCGGCCCGCCCTCCCGCCTGCAGCCCTTCACGCTGCGATCGAGGCAGCCGTGGGCGGAGAAGGAGGCGGAGGTGGTGGCGCTGACAGAGGAGCAGAAGGAGTACATGGCGCAGGTGGGCGGCTGTGTGCGGGTGTGATACGTGTGTGTGTGATGGCGGCTGTGTGTGGCGCAGGTGTGTGTGTGTGTGGTTCAAGTGTGTGTGGTGGTGCACGAGAGGGGCGACGGTGGGGATCGATTGATTGGTGTGTGAGATTGTGTGGCACCCACTCCGCCCCGCCCATCCATGCCCCCCTCTCCCGAGCCCTCCATGCTTACCCTCGTGCTGCACAGATCAAGGCAGAGAAGGCGGAGAAGGCGGGCGTGGTGCCGGAGCCAACAGAGAACACGGTGTGGCACGGCAAGGCGGAGACAGACTACCAGGGTGGGTGGGAGGGGTGGGTGTGGGGCTGGGAGGGGCGTGGCTAAGGGGCTGGGGCAGCCTTGTCTGGGGCGGCGCTCCTGGCTGCCCGCGGCTGGCGGTGCTGGCGGCGCAGGTTTGCCTGCGCAGCCCCCACACGTCGGACGCCTCGCCCGCGCCGGCGCCGCGATGAACCACCCGCCCGCCCGCCCACTCCCGCCCGCCTGCCTGCCTGCCTGCCTGCCTGCCTGCCTGCCTTTCTTCCCTGGGCAGGCCGCAGCTGGATCGAGGCTCCCAAGGACGCGGGCAAGCGGAAGGACGCGGAGCAGTGCTTCCTGCCCAAGCGCCACATCCACACCTGGAGCGGGCACAGCAAGGGCGTCAACGCGATACGGTGGGTATGGCTCGGCGCCTGGCCGGGAGGCTGGGGCGCGTGGTGCCGGGCCTGCACGGGCCGCGCGTGGCTGGGTGGGGGGCTGACGAGCAGCCAGGGGCACGGCTGGAGGTGCTGCCAAGGGCGGACCGAGGCTGCCGCCTGTGCCTGGCCCATCTGCCTCTCCCCACCACCCGCCACCCCGCTCCCCACCCGCCACCCCTCGCCCGCAGCTTCTTCCCCCACACCGGCCACCTGCTGCTGTCGGCGGGGCTGGACGGGCAGATCAAGATCTGGGATGTGGGGTCGCACCGCAAGTGCATGCGCACGTACATGGGGCACACCAAGGTGCGGCCCGCGGCCCTCTCAACCCTACCCGCCCCGCTGCCGCCACCTGCGCTGCCCTCGCTGCTCTCTGGGCTCGCAGAAATGCGTGCCAGCCTGCTGCTGCTCCACCACGACTGGACCCCTGCCCTCTCAACCCTACCCCCCCGCTTCCTGCACCACCACCACCACCTCCCCCACGCCGCTGCCTCCGTTGGGCGCCTGCCTGCCTGCCTGCCTGCCCCACGCCCACCCTGCCCGCCGCCTCGCGTGACCCTCTCCCCACCGCCCCGCCTGCCCGCAGGGCGTCAAGGACATCTGGTTCTCCAACGACGGCCGCCGCTTTGTGTCCACGGGATACGACAAGAAGATCCGCTACTGGGACACAGAGACGGGGCAGATCCTCAAGTGAGCCGCCCGCATAGTATGTGTGTGTGTGTGCATGTGTGTGCGTGTGGGGTGGCAGGATGGGTGTGCCGCGGAAACGCCAGCTTGCCGGGCGCGTGGCGGGGAGGTGCCGAGGGGCGGGCAGCCTCCTTTGCTCTGCGAAGCCGGGGGGGCGTGAGCTCACCTTGCTGCCGCTCCCCCCCCGCCTGCCTGCAGTACCGTGGGGGAGGGCAAGATGTCGTACTGCGTGCGGCTGCACCCGGAGGAGCAGGTGGGCTGGTTTGGGGCTGCAGGGGCTGCTTGTAGGTCTGGGGGCAGCGGCCAGAGGCGCGGGGTGGCGGCGTGCGCCGTCCGAGGCTGCTGCCGGCGCCCGCATGCTCCCCTGCCCCGCCTTCCCCCTCCCCTCCTCACACCCCTCCCTGCCGCATCTCCTACACCGTCGCCCCGCCGTGGTTTCTCTC